GTGGTTAAAAAGTAAAGAGAATTTTTGGGTTTATGTGTAATATTATTTTATTGATAGAATATGTGATTGAAATGAAGAAAGAGAAAAAAATGAGAAAGAGAATGAAAAAAAAATGGATGTCAAACAAGGGCTATGTGTGTTCTTTTCCAGAGTTCAAATGGATTATTTAAAATAGCAAATCTTACATCTTTTTCAGGTCAATGGATGCAAGTGATGCATGTATCGTCATAAGATTTTTGAAGGATATGAAGATTCTTTTGCTTAATAAAGTTTTTGTTGTGAATATTTTAGGTATGTCCTTCACTCTGCCAGAACTACAAAACTCATACATTAGTTTCGTCCTATGAATATTATCAGGAGTGTTGATGTACGTCCTCTACTTTCTGGCCTTTCGAGTATGTTTGGCTCTTCTTAAAGAAGTAAAATTTGCTTTAAGCTTCCCTTTTCCCAGCATAATTTCAAGAATACTTTTCTAGAAATTACATCTTAAGATACTTTCTAGAAAAGTATCTTTTAATCTTAAACCAACATGCTTATTGTTGAACAACTAGCTAGAAGTGTCAAGATAATGGTTAACTGACTTGATGGAAAACCTGCTTCTGCGTGTCGTGGATGTGACCACTAAAATAATCGTGTTTTACTTGCTATTATTCAAACAATTTGACTTTTTAATATATCTGGCCATTGCAGGTTATATTGCCTATAATTTCGTCGTAGGTGCATATTCCTATTGGGGACCCAAGGCGGGTTATAATATATATCACATGGTAAGCTCTTAATGGCATTCAAAAAAATTTACAACTCAATTCTCCATCTTCAAGTCCGTTGAAATTGGACTTTGACGTAATCTAAAAATTGAAAACTGTTCTTTTCCAGAAAAATGCGGATTATATTTTTGGAGCGATTACAGTAGTTTGTGGAATATTGGGATCGCTAGCAGGTGGTTTTGCTCTTGATTATATGACGTCCACAATTTCCAATGCTTTTAAGGTGGGCCTACATACAATTTACTTTCTCAAAACAATTGATTGAGGAGCAGGATTCATTTTTGCAGCTTAAAAATAGGATTCATTTCTGCAAACTTCCTTTTTTTGTTCAGCTTTAACTTTTCATAAAGCAAATGTGTAATTCAATTAACAGTGACGCCATAGAATTTCTTCTTGAATGTATTGCATCTCTCCTTCCATCATTTCCTTCTACTAGAAAAAGAACCAAAAATTTAATGGCTTACAAATTGCGGTGAGAACAACAGCAGCTTAAATGTTTAACCAGGGAACTTTATTTCTGTTCCTTTTTTTCTTAAACCTAACACCCCCTCCTCTTCAGTGGCTTCCAGGATGTATTTGCCTCCTGTGGCAATCTATATGTAGTGGCATATTGGAACTGGAAATTCAATAGTAAATTTCCCGTTGAACCTTCCCAATAACTATCCTCCACTTTACCCTCTCTTTTTCTCTCACCCAAAAGAGGAAAAAAATAAAATAAAATAAACTGAAACTTAGTAAGCTTTTTTTCAAGAAAAAAAATTAATGTTGAACCTTCCCAATAAATATCCTTCTCCTTTCCCTCTCTCTCTCTCACCCGAAAGAAAAAAATGAAAAGAATTAAACTGAAAGTTAGTAGGCTCTATTTCAAGTGACGGTGATCACCTAAAGAGACTCCCCGACTGTATTAATGCCGTTATTTTACTCACAGCTAGAGGAACCCCATGACTGGCCCATCTGGAGAGGTTAGCCTTGCCAGTCCTGTCTATCTAGACCTGCGGCCTGTGATCACCGGACCACAGACATTTTTAATCTTTTTTCCCTCAGAAAATTAACTTAATAACAAGAAAAAAATTCTGGTAGGATGCTAGCCCCACCTCGTAGAACATGGACCCTGCCTCTCGTTTTTGGAGTGCCTGTCCCATTCTACGCCTCTACTCAGCCCATTCCACCACCCATCATAATAGAATTGGGAATGAACCAGAATACAGATTCACCATAAGTTTGACATCGGTGTTCTTCTTTCCAGCGACCAATTTGATAAAAAGTAGAAAATTGACAGGGTAGAAGATATAAGCAGAAGGTGAAGTCTTGTACCTGGCTGGGAATTATAGTGAAATAATCAATAATGTACAAGATGGATGACAATTGAAATTCCTAGAAATAAAGCTGAAAGGAGGAAATGAACCTTTACTATAACCTTAACAGCGAATTGAATGCTGAGTTTCACTGAACCTGAAATCCCGTAACTATTACCTTATAACTGGAGATATTGGACAGCCGTGGAGAATATTAAAATATCTGGACTTGCTGCCCATTCATGGCAGTATTAACATTTGCTGTTCTTAGTTTTCTGGTTTTTGCATTTCTTTTCTATTGCCTAACACACTGCTCACTTCATACCATGCAAGCAAGTATTGTGGGTTTCCTCAACAAAGTCTCTCTCTCTGATGCAGCTTCTGTCAGTGGCAACACTATTTGGAGCAATATTTTGCATTGTCGCATTTTGCTTTAAGAGCCTAATTGCTTACATAATTATTTTTGCAATAGGAGAACTGCTAATATTTGCCGCCCAGGTAAATTTTCTTGTGAGCAAACCCTTGTTTATGTTTATGGTATTATACAATTGCAGATGGTGTCTATCATTCTACCCTTTGCTTTGTTTCATGCATTCGCCACATTTTCTGTTCTTGTTTCACATTTGAAGTTTGCCAATATTCTTATTATCTGTTGTCTTTAAGACTATACTTCATAGTTGCTGATTTTGGTGCCCTCATATGATTGTGTTTCTGCTTATTCCCTTTTCTTTTAAATTTAACAGTTCTATATTATTCTTCAGTTTCTACTTGTAACTTCTAGAAGAGTCTGCTTGGTACATCTTTGAGGCGTCGTGTTATTGTGCTAGCCAAATTAAACTACATAGATTTAGTTGAAAATAATTGCTTAGTATTGCATAAGAGTGATGAGATCTTGGTGGAAGAGTAGACCAAAACTAACCTTGGCAGTAGATGTTGCTTTGGATCTCTTGGTAGATTTAGCAATTAACTGAATGCAGTGGCGAGAAAGGGTTCATTTAGCCAACCACAAATTAGGAGGAATGAGGCTTCGTTTGTTCTTGTTGCCTAATGTTGCATAAATTGGCTAAATTTAAGCTACCATTCTTTTTCTTTCTTTCTTCCATGAATTTTCAGTAAGGATAGGTAGTAATTGAGTATTAACAATTTGTTTATGCCACCGCAGGCCCCTGTAAATTTTGTTTGTCTACATTGTGTCACGCCTAGTTTGAGACCATTATCCATGGCCATGTCTACCGTCTCCATTCACATTTTTGGTGACGTGCCTTCCGCTCCTCTCATTGGGCTTCTCCAGGTTTGCTAGTTTGTGTTACTATTATTTACTTTCAGGAAAGGATGTGAACTATGACAGGCATATTCACATGCGCATATGCACACAAAGAAAGAGCGGGAGGGGTGGGCCAAAATGAGATAGTTGTCAAGGATCTTGTTTCTTTAAATCTGCCTGAAAATCTAGCGATGCACCGAAAGGAGTGGCGAAAAGGGATTCATGTAGTGGACCCCAAATCTTTTGGCAACAAGGGATCTGCTACATAGATCCTTTTTTCGCAAGTATGTTCTTTTCATTCTTAGATCTACATAGAGATCTTGAAGTACTCATCATAATGTTTGATGATATTCTCGTGATCACAATTACTTTCTGTAGGATCATCTTAACAATTGGAGGAAAACTGCTCTTATTCTTACATCCATTCTGTTCTTGGCTGCCGTAATATGGTTTGCAGGTAATATTTTATTTACCATGTTATCAAGGTTTTATGGGTATTTCCAAGGTCGATTTCTATTCTAAAGATGCTAACATAATTTTGGTAATGAGAAGTTGACTCCCCTTTTACTATCATCTGTCTTTTAGCTATCTTTTCATGAGAATAACGATATTAACGTATTTCTAAGATACTTGAACCTTGTGTACTTTGGTAGGTATTTTTCTTCACACAGTAGATAGGTTTAATGAAGGGAGTGAGAATCCAGTTAATACTATTGAAAATTCAAGCACGACTCCACAGGAAGTGAAGAAGACCGAAACAGCGTAATTTTTCTCGAACCATAAATTCTTTCAAGACTAACCAGTTGGTAAGTTTTTGACACTCGTATTTAATGTAAATTATTTCTTCTAATGCCTCTTGTGAGTGTATATAATGTTATGTTTTGCATTTGAAATCATGCTCATTTGTTCAATTACTCTCCGGGGAAAGAAATGCAAAAATTCTTGCCTTGGCTATTTAATGCAATTTTTTTATGGCTGCTAGTTCCATTTCATGTTTTGATTTGTTGAAATACAGGTTATCTCTACCCCTCTGAGCAATGATGAATCAAAAACTGGGAGAAAAAGATTTTGCTTGAATTTCCATAAATCCCCCTGTTACACAAGTACATGTAAAATGAAAAAAAAAAGTTAAAAAAATCTCTTTATTCGATGTCCGCGCAGGATGAACACACACAATAAACCCAAGTAGTTGCATAGCATTCTCTCAATACAAATATTTTGTTCAATCTAGATCAGAAAAATATAAACTATAAAGAGTTGCCATAAAGACCTATTGTGTCTCACCTAATACAGGCTGAGATTGGAAGCTCAAACTCTATACTACAAATTGCATTTACACAAGTGATAGCTCGCCAGCAGGTATAGATCTTTCAAAAAGTTTAGCCCAGGACTCGTTGGTTTCAGTGATTACCTCGAGGGCATAATCCTGTAATCATAAAATGACTACTTTTTAAAGATATGAATTACTGTGTATGTTTTGAGGTAAACTGAATGAATTTCAAGAACCCTGTGAAATGAAGATGACAAATGACAAACGATATGCATCCCATAGGTACTATCATGGTGGTCTAACTCGTATATTTTTACCCTGTTAAGAGTAATGGCCACCTTTTTCTCCTTTACAATTTTTACCCTCTAGGAGGTGTTTCACGAGTTTTACTACCAAACCAAAATAACTAACTGTAAGTTACTAATCGGGATTGAGCAGCATGACCATTATCTTAATGTTTGGAAGAGGATAGAAAATGAGAATAATGGACTCGTTGAGCCACTTACTGAGATTTTTCACAATATTAACCAAAAGCAAAGAATAATGTTTGGTTATAGTTCTCAAGATACCTTGTTAGCTGGCTTGTTGCCTAGACCAAACTTGTTCGCAGGTTTCCCATCGGGAATTTTGTAGTCTCTAAACAAGTATCTGATTGCAGTAAGATTTCCCGGAAGAAAATAACGTGTTTAGTTCTGAGTAGTTGTTGCAAAGAATGAGAAGAATAGAGACCATATTTATAAGACATGTAAGGTACATTTGCGAAGTTGGAATGAAGACGAGATTAAGAAGTATATGTGACAAAATATACCGATAGCCTCGTCAAATTTTGTCCATTCCAACGCAGAGAACATGCCAATATGATTTGGTTATCGCTTACTTTTACATGATATGCAGAATTCAACATAAGAAAGTTCAGCATGCAGTTGAGACTTGTACAAGTCGTCCTCAAATCTTCATTCTTGTACTTGGCGAGGATAAATACACTACGCCTCCTCTGAAGTCTCAAGCGAACTATCTTATACAAGTAAATTACTCCATCTTTGAGATAATTACATACTGAGCCAACGGAACAGACGCATACTACTCTCAAAGAAAGCCAAACTGGTGGGTTATGCAATCTATTATTTAAATTTGAGCAAAAGCAACAAGCTCGACAAGAGAAAGGAAGACGACACCACATATATTTAAGTAGTAGTTGGAAATAATAGTGTATGTATGTATCCATTAGCCAATACGTACCGGGAAATGCTTCTCAACATCACTTGTGTCTTTAACTAGCGAAGCTTTTGGATCATCCACTGAAATTGCAACTATTTTCCAATCAAGTTCTCCCTCATCATTCATTGCCAGAGCAGCGAAAGGCTTGACTTTCAAAATTTGCCCACTCTTGGCTCGGAATTCCCCGATCTCAACTGCATCAACTCCAAATGAAAGAGCCACAGATAAATTAACTGGTGTACCTGCTTTATCAGTTTATCTCCATTTTTCCATTTCAATTGGAGACAGAAAAAAGATTACTAAATAAACAAGGATAGCCAAGTAGTAGAAACGGTGACAGTTATCCGGATCGTTGTCTCCAAATGTCTCCTCAACTTCAGGGTTCGCCAATGAAGGTGTTCCCATGTTTGTGGGAGCAATCCATGATTCCAATTAATGTTGTATCTTCGGGAAAGTAAGAAATGGCTGAGAAAAAGAAAATTAGACATCAGGTAAATAATAATTAAAGAAGTTTATAGGCCAATACAATGTTATAGTGTCAAAAGAGAGAGGTCGATTTCATAGCTCAACCAAAAGAATCAATTCACTTGCTCTTGCTTCAGAGAGAAGCCCAATAGGCATAATGACTGCTGTTGTAACTCTGCTTATATGTATTGCTCAAGTTCAATCTGGTGAGCCTAATTACAAATTCTGTTCAGGCTTTATATGTTGAATACACAAAGACCTTCAAATAGTGAGCTCTATCAATATGGAAGTAAAAGCTGATCCATTTTTCTCTCCTTTTGGTGGGGAGGAGAAGTATGAATTAAGGTGAGTAGCTGAGGGCTCCATAATGAACGCAGTTATATACTTGGATTAACACAAGCTGCTTAAACGCCAATATTAATTATGTAAATGAGGGATCTGAAAATTGTGCGGCTTGACAGCATTTTTTAAACAGGAAGCCATATGGTCTTCAATTTCTTTATCCATCCAAGAAACACATACGAGCTCAAATTTAACTGCACCGCAGAATCTAATTGCAAAAACTAGAATCATACAAAGTAGCAGAGGAATATGCTATCTGGTTTATTTATTTCTTTAACTTTGTAAGAAAAATTCCTAAATGTAAACTGGAAAAAAAAAATGCCACGACATGCCTTTTATTTCTTCTTTCTCAGAGTCAACTTGCCAGAGAAAGATCCCACAAAAGGGTCAAATCAAACAGTTGATGAAATTAACTAGAATACATGGATGACAAATAAATATACTATGGAGAAAAGAGGTGAAACAGCGTAATCTTACGCGTAATATCTTAGTTTTCCCTTCTTGGTGTCTTGCTTCATGGGAGTAAATGGACCATCAGTAGCAACCTCCATCTTTGCACTAGATTCTTTGGGGATTTCAACAACAAAATTGAATACACATCTCCGACTTGCAGTGGTTCATCGTGCCAAGGGGAAATCTGCATATCAAATAAACACAGTTTGATTAACATCAGCCAATGAAACATTTGTTCAAATTTCAGACTTTAATCGCAAATCTACAGAGTGCAACCATTACACACTAAACTCTCTCTCCTACATTCTTATTTACAGTACAGCTTGAAATGTTTATAAGAAAATAAGTCAAAAGAGGAAAATAAAACATATGTGCCATCAATTTTTCAATCTTTCACAGTTCCACTAATTTTATTTTAGCTTTTTTTTTTGCTTTGAGCATGTTTTGGGTAAGCTTAGAAGTTCGTAAATCTTGAAATAAATAGTTATTTTTATTGGTCAAGGTTGGAAACGGAAGTCACATATTTGAACTTAAGAATTACTTTCAAAATAAATCACCTTTTTTTTTTTACTTTAATTACAGTAAAAAGTAAGTTACACAAACAAACATGTTTGAAAGCTATTTAAAGAATCTTTTACTTTTACTAGTTTAAGGCACGTGCAA